CGCCAGACCGCCCGGGTAGTTGTTCTTGTCGACGGCGGTCGTGAACGCGACATCCATGAGCTCCTCGTTCAGCGCAGACGCAGGCACAACTGTGCTGAGGTACTCCCCCGAGCCCGAGGGGTCTAGAAACACGACTGTGTGCTCTGTGCGTGACCTGTCACTCGCCATCCGGACGAACCTGTGTCAAGCCGTGTCAGTATTGGAGGGTCCATCATGAGCCAATGTCATTCATACCTCTGGCGCTGATACTGATGCGCGAATCCGGGAGGCGAGCTCCCACCACCCGTCGTCGCGCCCCGCCAGAAAATTTTATCGTTCTTCAGCTCCCAGGGCATCTCCATATCATCCACATCCTTCAGAATCATATTGACCGCGTCCCACCCGTAGGTGTACTTAGGCGTCGAACCGTGGTAATAATGACTTGGAATCCGAATATCCCCAAAGCCGAGACCTTTCGCAGGCGAGAGTATGGGATATAGCACAGAGATTGTCCGCCAATCCGAGAAGAAGTGTCCCTGGAAGTAGTGAGCCCATGGATTGTCGCAGAACGAGAAGCGTGTGTCGGTGCCTTCGGCGAACGTGAACTCCTGTGCTGGGTCCGCATCGGTGCTATACAATGCCCGGATGGTACGGTTCACGACGGAGGGACGGAGCGAACTGAAGAGTTGACGTGCCGGGGATGTGGGGGCACAGGTGCGTCGGTAGGCCTCCCATACGTTGCCTGAGCCCCGCCAATCAGCCGTGAAGTCGCCAACCATAGAGTGGACGCCGCCCGAAGAGTCTTGGGTTGTAAGATTAGGGTACTTTTGGTGCTCCCAGGGAACGAGGATCCGTCCCTCGGCTTTGGCGTTTATAGGAAAGTCCAGGTCAGGTAGCTATACACGATTGTCACACTTGAGGAAAAGAAGAAATATGAGAAACGCACTCTCTGCTCAAACGGCTCTATCATTCGTCTGAAACCATGCGCCCGCGAACTAGCCTCGGCGTCGTCAAACCCGTTGTGGAGATTAACTGTAGAGCCTTTCCCATCCCGCACACGCACGATATCAATGGAGGGCAACGAACTGACCTTTTACCGTCTTAGTTTGGAAACCATGTTAAGACATGCAAGGTCACTCACTTGTTGCACCCGTCTTCGGAATTCCTTTCCGGAGATGTTTCTGAACGGCGCCAAATCTTCCATGAGCCCATCAAATTCGTCCATCATCCTGAACTCATTTTGCTTCGCAAACGCAAACCACTCGTCAAATCCCTTCGGCGGGTCCATGTCGTACCTGTTCCGATACTCAACAACCGCCGCATCCAACGTCTCGCTCTGTCGATTTAGCATGCCCTTGAACCTCTCCTCTGCATCCTTCATAAGCTTTGGTATGGGGTGTTCCTTAGCTTTGCTGCCAGCAAGACCAAACGCGTCCACGGACAACCATTTCCGGCTCGGTTTCTCGCTCTTGTACCCCGCAAAGACGCCGCACTGGACGGAGACGAAGAAGACCGCAAATATGAATATTAGGCCTCGCCGATACGCCCAGGCGGCATCGACAGCGGGCATGATGGAGAACGCAGACAAACCTGTACCGCGTTCGATGTCGGGCACATGCGCGTACGTTGAGCGGTTCAGCCACCGCGACAGCGGAGGCTGTTTGCGTCTATTTGGCATCGCTCGCGCCTCGTGCCACCCACTGCTCACCGATTCCGTTGGCATTAAATATTATGCCTTCAGCGTTGTCTGCAACGTCCGCGGAGCAAGAGGCTAGTGACAAGATCGAAGAGCGCACAAGAATAGCACGCAACGCTGGCTGGCTTTGTTTATACTATTGCATCAGGCGCCCATCTAATACTCGCTCCACCCCCCGCTGGACCCATGATTCTCGGTTTATCAGATTCACCATCATCATATGCTGACTCCTCGGTTCTGCGTTCATCAAACCTTGCTCCTAGCGAACTATGGCCATGGCGAGTCTGCGTCTTGTCAGACCAATTGTACTTTTGCCTGAACATGGACAAGCTGTTCTGTATTTGTCCGGGCTCTGACGTCTCAGGCCATCCAGCGGCAATCTGTCTAATCTGTCTAATCTTCCTCCATACTCTATTCGTCCTTCTATTCGGAGAATCACCAATTGGGGAATCTCGAGCAGTTCTGGTTTACTTCCGGCCCCCGCTGGGCGGTGCATTTCGTTCTTCCCTCATTCAGTGTTACCTTCTGGATTCAGACTCTACAGCACTCATTCAATCGCTGCTAGGTTCGGACAGAATATGCCAAAGGACCTCGAGGCATATTACCAACAGTTCAATCAAGCCCAAAGTTACGACCTGCGCGCAGGCACAGACTGCATATACAGTATCATATTTCCGATCAACACATCGACTGGACTAGAATATGCCATGAACCAGGTACAATCTTTCGCGGGTCTGCTGTCTGTCATGCATTCACTTACTTCTCCTCAGTTCTCATCTTGAGTCTCTGGGGTCTGCTCAATGTGGTTACTCCCTGTTGCCATAGCCCAAGTCATTAACGCGGAATAGTCTGAAACATCTAAACAACACCACAGGCTCGTTGCTACCGCTCCCTTACACAGAACTCCGGTAAACCCGCAGCACCAGTCTCTACCTGGATTACGTTTTACAAAATATTCATTACTCCGCTGTTGTTTTTGTGGTTTATCGGTATCGACAAGAACAAACCGTTAAGATCACCCCCAGGTAGATCATATCCCCCTTGTGCACGGCGTGCTACGATCCGGTCGCAAGCTCTTGACAAGTACAGGATTTTCACAGTATACAACATCTAATTACTGGTGAATCCTCCAATGAGGTTCCCGGGTCGATCTGGCTCCTGAACTATCCATGGAACGCACGAAGATGGTGCCAGTGTGAAGAAGAAATTCTTGGAACCAGTGATCGCCTAGTACTAGCTGCAAAAGGACGCGATAGTCGGCGAAAACACGACTTCGCATGTTGAACGTTGATGTACCACCGAATCGATCTCGCCAATTCTCGCAATACTCTACTTTCCAGCGACACCACCGACAAATCGAACAATTGAAGGTCCAAAGACCCGAACTTCCGACTCTGCATGTTTGTCTTGAAGCCTGGACTCCACGGTTTCCCTGCTAGTGATTTGGGCAACCTCCTCTATGAACTACTGTTGAACTGTCGAATAACCTCGAAGGCTGGACTATGATTCGCTAGTAAGTGATTTGACGGCCAATCAAACGCCTTGATGGTCAGTGTCTATTGATTCCAGGAAGATGACTTAATCACGTCTGGACGCCCAGTAGCACTAGATCACGAATGGCTGTCACCATCCCAAGCAAGATTGCTCACGGAAATGGTCTTCATAGGTGCCTTTTGCTCCTTGCTGTCTCCTATGCGATGATCATGCCTGTATTATATTCATACAACAGTAGTGATTACTCGACAGGTCTACTGCATGTTACGACTTCTACTACTGCTGTTTGTCATCACCAAATCAATTGGCCACTGCGAAACCAATCAGTAAATCTCATCCGTTAGGGAGGAGATCTCGACTCACCCGTCCACAAGGTACTCTCCACCAGTCATATAGCTAGCATAGTCCGACAGAAGCAAGATAGCCTGGCCGGTCATTTCCTCCGGCTGTACACGGCACGCGATCAGTAAACTACAAGTGAACTCAAGTCCATAACGGACGCACCTTTGCAAACCGCTTGAGCGGCACATTCTCCGCCTGATAGTTCTTCACCTTCTCGTCCATCCCAGCTGTCTGGTCGGTGTCCACTGCGTTCAAACATGTCAATCAACTTCAGGCCACCGACCGCAGAAGAGTGTGTCACACACCGTATCCTGGAGCAATAGCATTCACCCTGATGTTGTGCGGGGCCCATTCGGCCGCAAGGCCTTTGGTCAAGTTGGTCACCGCCCCTTTCGACGAGTTGTAGAAAATCTGCGGACATCACAGAGATTAGCGCCGTCTTCTTGGTTGCTATAGGCTTACCTGAGTCAAAGGCTTGTTCGACCCGAGCTGGTTGATGATGTGGGAGGACATTGACGAAGTGATGACGATCGAGCCGCCCTGGTGCTTGCGCTCGATCCACAGTCTGTCCGGATAGGCAAAGCGATCACTGGACTAGACGACATATCACTTACTTGGCTGCTGCACGGGCGCTGTTGAACACTCCGAGAACGTTGACGGTGAAGACTTTGTTGAAGTCGTCCGTAGTCATCTCAAGTGCGGGCTTGACCACGGATATACCTGCGTTCTGTCCGGCGGACCGATATCAGCAAAGGCATTACATAGGATAATGCAGCACTCACCGCAACGAGACCCTTAATCGGACCTAGCTCATCATCTATCTTCGCGAACGTCTTGTTGACGAGGTCAGCATCCGAGACGTCGCACTTATACGCCTTTACAGTAGATGTATGCGTCAATCATAGCCTATATGCGCAACTCCCGTCAGCGTACCTTGCTCTTCACGTTGAACTCTTTTCCAATGTTGGTGGCGACCTGTTCGGCATCCTTGGACGATCTATGGCGCATATATGAGCCTCAGACTCCTTGCTGCCTTGCGCCAGTCATGAAGCCCTGACCTATAGATGATAGCCACGCTGGCTCCTGCTTTCGCGACCGCCCTGCTGATCTCAAGACCAATACCACGGTTCCCACCAGTAACGACGACACACTTCCCTGTGATCCCTCCAATCTTAGCACTATTTCGTCGACTTCCGCTATGTCTGCGCTCACCTCCAAAGTGAATGACGAATCCTGGAGCCATTACCGGTACAAATCACAATATCGAATAAGTAGTGTACTGTGTGGATGGTGGGAGAATGAAAGATGGGGCTTTTGTTGTGCAATCTTAAGAGCCATTATATACCTCGATGGGCACCACCAGTGACTGTCGGTGACGCTGCAGCATGTCCGTTATTCTGGGATAGACACGTGACGTCATCTATAGCCATTAGAATACATGTATATATATTGCGACGATCCATACAATCCCACCAAATTAACATTGCAGGGGCACTTGGCACAGTGGTAGCGCGCACGCTTCGCATTGAATGACTTGCGTGAGGTCGGGAGTTCGATCCTCCCAGTGTCCACTTTTTGCTCATTTTTGATCTCCCAACGACTCTTTTAAACATTTTAACCACTTCGATTCATGCCAAGTGACAGTAGAAATATCACGAGGTTTCGTGGGTATCTTCTCAAGTTTGTACTTTTGGTGTGTGCTCTGCATGACATAGAATAGCTCGTACAAATGAAGATCATGCGCATACAGACATGAGATGTGCGGGTAGAAGCAACAAAGACTTCGATGAACTGCCCCTCGAACGCTCCCGACTCGTCTATTCAACGACCACCGTTTGAAGGCCCTGCGAGCATTGAGCCGTAAGGATATGGTTGAACAAACGGACGACTTAACAGACGTACCTTGAACGATGCGACGGGAACGTGACTGGCGTACGTGAAGAGCTTCTCCTTCGCGTTCTCGTCATCATTCCGTTTCCCTGCAAAGCAGGGTCAGTCTCGTCCCACCAGCCTACATTCTCTGCTACCCTCCTCTCCACCACCGAACTTATTTAAATCAAGATAACACTACTCACGCTCAAGCTTCACTCGAATACGGTGCGGCACGTTCTTAATACCCTGCTCCCACAGCGCCTGATTGAGTTTGGGGTCGATCCGGACCTCCGACGTGCCCATCGTCTTCTGTGCAAACTCCACGACGGACTTGACGGCGCGGGGCGCCCGCTTTTTGAAGGAGAGACCAAAGACGCGCTTGTGTAGATGAATGGTGTACTCCCGGGTCACGACATCCTGGAGGGCGGAGCGAGTCTTGCCACCGGTCTTATACACATATATTAGTCTTGTTAGCTTTATAAGTCATAGACGCTAAACCACACCTTTTTCTTCTGGGAGGTTCTAGGGGCCTACATGGGCAGCAATTTAACGTACTTTCAGCAACGAGGACAGCAGCGACGCACCATGTCTTGAGGATGTCGGGGTCGATGAGATCGGTGAAATATGTGCGCGAAGTTGCAGCCACCCAATGCCAAATGAGGCCAAACAAGATAGAGTTTGCGGGGGCGTGCGTCGTACTGTACAGACACCGGGAGTTGCCGATTCATCCAGACGGAGTACACAATCGGTACTGGCGCCGGCATCGACAAGCTTCAAGAACAAGGTGAGTCCATGCGTTATGCTCGGCTGCTCGACGTTGTGTTCGGTGATTCTGACGGTCCGTTCGGATTGTGCAGGTCTTCTCCCTTAACGTGAGTTTTCCGAACACCGTGCGTCTCATATGTCGGGTTGCAGTATCTGGCAATGAGCTCGGGATGGAATTGGAAGACACGGGTGGACTGGGTAGCCGAGCAGAGCCAATCATGATTCGGAAACGCCGCTTATGCTGGTTGAGAGTGAAAGGATGTGCCGTCATACGCTGAAAGACAAGCAGTAAGAGTCGCCACAGCTGACTTTATTTCTGTTCATCCAGTCGCAATGGCCCAACGAGTCACCCTCCGTAAGCGCACGCCCTACAACACCACCTCCAACCGCCGGCGTGTGGTCAAGACTCCCGGTGGCAAGCTTGTCTACCACCACATCCGCAAGCTCGCGTCCGCGCCCAAGTGCGGTGACTGTGGAACTGCTCTCCCTGGTGTACGTGTCGTAATGGCATTGTGAGATATGATGCTTATGGCTTCTACGCGTAGATTCCCGCCCTCCGCCCCCGCCAGTACGCTACCATCTCCAAGCGTCAAAAGACTGTCAACCGGGCATACGGCGGCTCAAGATGTGGTGATTGCACGAAGCAGCGGTTTGTGCCTCCTCTTTCATCTCCTTTTCCCCCTCACTCACTCTCTACCCTCCATCTCAGCATCCTTCGCGCATTCCTGGTTGAGGAGGCCAAGATCGTCAAACGGGTGATCAAGACCCAGCAGCAGGCGGCCAAGAGGAAGTAAAGTGCTTCCTTCCCGCGTGCTGTAGGAGAGCGAGGAGGGTTTGCTTTTGTCGTGCTTGCTATCACTACTTTCCCCTTTATGGCGACTACTATGCGTCCATGTATTCTGGCAAAAATGCGACTGATGAAGTCGGTATGCGATACTTGCCTTGCGAGAAGGCGCGTCCGGGTCAATGCGATTGTGCGCGTCTGCCATGTCGTTCGCGCTAGACGTCTTTTTGCAGTAGACGTGTTCATTGCATCGCTCGGTGGAAAGATTGTCCTCATCTCAGTCCCTGTTATGTCGCAGAGCGATGCCACAATATTACCCCTGCGCTAGTTTGCCTGATGAACACAAATCACCAGCTGCGACAGTCATTTCGCAATGTTCCTCCGTCTCCTGCTCTATGTACATTGAGCCTGTAAATCGACTGCCTTGGCATCTAGGCAAGACTACAGTCTTTCCGCAACTTTTGCTGGGGCAGTGTCTTGGTTAATGACAGTGTTCTCTGTTCCTCATCTGATCTGCAGGTCAAGTTATCATTGTTTCATGAGCCTCCATCGACAATTCATCATGATGCATTACCCCGTGTAGAGATTGTGTAGAGATGGACAGGGTCCTTCCAGAATTCAAATATTGACGCCTGTTATTCCGACCAGATCTCGACGTGCTTGGTCGCTTCGAGGCAATTCGAAACCCTTGCTCGATGTCCGTCGACAAGTGCATTTTCTCTGGATCCTCCACATCGAACTTAGAACTGCCGAACAATTGATATGATACGCCGCATTTGTGGCTTGTTTTGAGTACACAAAGCTTGACGTCAAATCCTACTGTACCCCCGCCCGGTGAGAGCTTGCATCGAATTATAGCTGTCTATTAGAGCGTATTTGCAGCGCCCAAACGGCCAATTTTATTCAGAAATTTGGAACTGCCAATTCATAAAAACGTGGCAAGGAATGCCGTAACCGAGGGTTAATTGTTGCAAAGACTTGCCCATAGCACTCGCGTTTTCCACTCTTTCGACTTCATTTTTTTTCAGGGATGAAATGTCGATACATACGACTCTGATGCATCCAAGAATGGTCTTGATATGCTGAGCTTTGGAGGAAACCGAGCATCAGTGAAACATCAGTTGCCCTATTTTTAGCCATCACTCGCGGTTGATCCCAAAAATTGGAACTCTCTTTCACAAAACTTTTGGGCGCTGCAAATACGCTCTATTACAACGCTCGAAAACACGCTCAGACGCGTGGAATAGCACAAGAACGGCATCGTCCATGTGTGCATGTGTCACGGGTGGCAGGTTCTTTTGACTTCCATTTCTGGAACAAACGATTGTTCAACTTGACGCATTCCGCATAGACATGCCTTTTGCCCACAAAGGCGCTCCCTTTCTACTTTTGTGCGATGCATCGGTCTAGCAATGTCTTCGGGTCCGGCTGGCGTGCTCAGCGTAATGGCGAGTCCGTAAAATACCAGGAAATACAAGAAAAGTTCTCCTGGAGACTAGCGAAATGGATGTTGTCCCGGAACCCCGAGGGGACTCCTCTCACGCAAAGAGACTACCTTTCGGATGCCCAAGATAGGACATGTCCTGTTCATCAGAATGCTATAATGGGGGCCGACCAGCCCCCATTGTCACACCACTATAAAATCTTCCTTTGACTGACCATCCGCTCACAACTCTCTCGAGTCTACCTGCTGCACCGTCCGATCTCTTCGCCTTCTAGGCCTCTGCAGTTATCTATCAATACCCTAAGTTATCGTTATGCGCTGCACACTCGCGTTCGTCACCCTCTCCTACGTCTTCGCGGTCGTGTCCGCGTCGCGCATCGCCATCTACGCCCGGCAATCGCTACCCAGTACGTCCATTGTGTTACTCCAGCAATGACATCTTACAAATACCTCTACCTTTCAGGCTGTGCAACCAGCTGCCTTATGAACGCCGACACCGGTACCTGCGGGGAGAATGACACCTGTCTCTGTCGTTCGCAAGCCTTCATTAACAGCACCACCACCTGCATTCAGCAATCCTGCACGGGCAGCGACCTCACTAACGCCGAGGCTGCCGCTCAGGAATTGTGTGCCGCTGTTGTGAGTTGTGGGCGCCCTCGAGTAACCCGTATCCGACTGACCACTGCTGAAAATTTAGGGCGTAACCTTGAGCGCCACCTCTGCAACCGCGTCTGCGACCGCACCTGCTAGCTCGGCCTCGGGCTCGCCCGGTGGTTCTGCGACTACGTCTGCATCTGCATCTTCAGCTTCAGCTTCGTACGTCTCTAGATATCTGTTGTGAAATTTTTGTTCACATTTCTTTATATAGGCAAACTGGAACCACCAGCGGTGCCATGACGCACGGCGCAAACATGGTTGCTGGCCTCGCTGCTGTCGGCCTTGCCGCCCTCGCACTCTAAAATCGCTTTGCTCCCGTCATACCACGCCTGCAATCCGATGTTCGAGGGAGACATCTGTTGGTTCGCAATTCCATCCCCGCTGCTCGCTGTTCTCTTTGATGTAAATTTATCATATTTACCTCTTGTCACATATTCGGGATAATAAATAGCTACTTGGATACGCTATGGCATTCGAGGCTTGAAGCTTGAGCGCTTGAGCTCTGGTGTAGCTCGAACGAGAGCGCAGCTGGACAGAAGGACATCAACGATCGAGTGAAGATCATGATATCGATGCATCTCATTCGCGGGAGTGATTACTGTGATCTGAGAAGTTGTAATATTCCGCGGGCTTCTTGCAAGAGCCATCATGATTCTGATGGGCAACTAACGGGCGGAGTTGGGTGTTGAAGTCATTCCTGTGGATGATGGGGGGCGCATCTGAATTATGATGCTAATGGTGTTCTGGTGTAGTCCGAACGGAAGTGCTTACTGCTCATCTCCTCTAGAGAGCAGAAGGCATGGACATCTGTAAACATACCGTGAAATCAGACAAGCTGTAATAAGCTTCAAAGCAAAGGTGGAATGTCAGCTTTCACTGCGCAATCCCTTCTCTAAGCCCATAATTACAGTCCAATCTGACCAGACATATAAACATATCGTACACGCCACCGTCCAGTGCGATGGTCTATGATAAGGATCCAAGAAAGACGTAGAGTGTATGGCCTCATCACGACGAGAAAATGCCCATGATTTTGAACGCAGGGACGC